TAATAGCACACCTAGTCTTAGAGATGTTTTTAAAACGTGTCAATGACACCAAGCCTCATTTCTGAAATGTTTCACGTGATACTTTAAAAACCCGAATGAAGTGTCAAACACGAAGCCACTCTGTGTTCAACACATTCCCATGTCACCACATTTTATGTGTCTGTGAAACATTTGCAGATTGTGTCACCGAAATGTTTCGAATTCATTTTTTACATATTTCAATGACACAATGGGCAAAGGTCTCCGTTGGCAGTGCATTTTTGACACATTTCTGACACATTTGTAAAACAATGAGCCTTTAACTCAGATTTTCCTCTGATTTTCTAAATGTTTATGACACATTTTCGGTATAATCACTACAGTCCATGTAGTGTTAAACACGAGCCCACTCTGTGTTGAATACATCCGCATGTCACACTTCTTAACCGTAAAAAATTTTTCAGACATCTGTTTTAGCAAATGTCGTGGAGGCATTATAGCTATCAAATCAAGTACCTGGGCGGCCTGATTACAGACTATGCCTAAGGAGAGTATGGAACTATGGGTTCACGCCATCAGTATTAAACTATCAGAGGGATTAGGAAGTCCTCTCTTTAGAAAAGTATACGCAAAGCATGATGTACGGTTTCAATATTTTAGATAATCCATAACTTTTAAGCTCTTACGGAGATAAATGCGATGCATACCAAGAATTTAAAACTATTTTTAACTCTGCATAATTAAATAGCCAAAAAGTAAACATTAAGACAAAAAAATAAACCAAAATTTGATAAAATTGGAAATTGAAACGTCAACGATCTCTGGTAGGTTCAGTTTGATCTAGGAAAATTTTTAGAAAGGTCTGAGAAATGTTTTCAACTTGTGTTCACCAGGTTTAAATGAAAATCAAGGCATTGTTTTGTTTAACTGATATATTCCTGACACATTTCTGAAATAAATTTCCTTACCCTTATGCGTTTAAATTAATTTTATAAATGGTTATGACGTACGATCGCCGCGGATCAATTAAATGAGAGTGATACGAGTATTTCAACTAGAGTCGAGCAATGAGGGAAATTCTTACACGAAAATCTGAAGGCGTTTCAAATACCATTCCGTCACGTTTCATACATAGATTCAACATTTAGCTGTACCTTATCAGATTAAAAATACGAAATATCTGCCAGTTGTTTCTGAAACATGTTTTTGAAGGATCTTGGAAACGTTGCTAAATTGTGTCAGAAATATGTCAGGTTTATTTCTCACAAACTTCGAACTTCCAAGAATTTCTGCAGCAACGTTTTAAATATGTTTTAGAAATGTTTCCAAAATATTTAGTTGATCTCCTTTCCCAACATATCGTACACAAATCTAATATGAATCTGTGCCTGGGTCGTTAAAAAAAAATTGACAAAATTACAAATTTTTTCCGATGGATGTCAATAAAGGTTCATTGATTTTCACATAAATTGTGGCAGAAATGTTCCGTAAATATGTTTCAATCATAGGCTTAGCTGTGACAATGGTTTTGAAATGTTTTTGAAACCTTTCTGCTATAGTTTATTGAACGGACTGCAATATATTGACAACACATAGCTGACACGTTTCTCACACATTTTTTGGGTGGGTTATTTATGCCTTTTTTAAATAAGTTTGAAACGTTTCCAACTTATTTTTAAAAAAGTTTGAATGACCGCAATTAGAAACATTTTCGATTTGTTTTCAATACGTTTCAAAGACACGGCCAACTTGCCCATTTCATGTATTCGTTTTGAAAATTTGTTGGAAACATGTGTCAATGACTAATCCGAGATTGACATAATTTGAAACATTTTAAAAACATTCCATTGTGTAACTGTGCTATTAGGGATTTTGAACGGGAAACTTGAATTTCTGGTCAAATTTTGAAAATTTGAAAATCCGAGATGGCGGATGTGGCCTAAAATGCTATCTCGGGCTGCTCGACCTATCGTGGTGAATCTTGGTTGTATAGGGGGTATTTCTGGCCGGGAAACTCAAATTCCTAGCCGAGTTTCGAAAAATTGAAATTTTTCAAATTTTGACATTGAGCTCGTTCAGTGATTTTTGATTTTTGCGTTTTTTGAAGTATTTACTACGCATAAGCCACAAATAATTTCTCCGATATTTTTCGCATTTCAATCCACGAAAAACAAGTTTGAGGTTGCGTCTTCTGAGCTCCCCTTTAAATGTGTGTCCGAGGAATGAAATATCCCCCAGGGGATACTTACTCAAGTAAGGTCATTTTCGGCCACATCCACCATCTTGGATTTTCGAATTTTCAAAATTCGATCAGAAATTCGAGTTTCCCATCCAAAAATATTACCTGGTACCAAGATTTACCGCGATAGATGGAGCACTAGCCGGGATAGCATTTTAGGCCACATCCGCCATCTTGGATTTTTGAATTTTCAAAATTTGACCAGAAATTCGAGTTTCCCATCCAAAAATACCCCCGGATAATAAAAATCAGCAAGATCGATCGAACAGGAGCCGAGATAGCATTTTAGGCCACATCCGCCATCTTTGATTTTCGAATTTTCAAAATTTGACCAGAAATTCGAGTTTCCCGTCCAAAAAAACCCATTACCCCGAAAATCAGCATGATCGATCGAACAGGAGCCGAGATAGCATTATAGGCCACATCCTTAATCTTGGATTTTCGAATTTTCAAAATTTCACGATTCACGGGTTTGTTGACCTATTCAAGGGTTTATCGATCAATTCACGGATTTTTCGAACGAATCACGGGGTTGTCAATCGATTCACGGATTTGCGGATCGATTCGCTGGTTTTTGATCGATTCACGGTCGTCAATCGAATCAGTGCGGATCAAATCACGTCAATCGGTTCATGTTCTAACTTTTCGATCGATTCATGTCGGTCATGTCGGAATCATGACACTGGTTTTTCAATAATTTGTCGATCGAGTCGGTGTTGATCGATTCATGCTTTCATTTTTTGATCGATTCCATGTCAATCAAATCTATAAACCCTCCCGTCCAAATTGCATGTTAATATTTGCCACCATTCTCGAAATATTAGCAAGTCTGAAGGTATCCATATTTTTGGCACATCCTGTTTTTGGTAGAATATCTTACCGCAAGGACAATGCACCTCCCCCCTTCCTCGCATGATGGGAGGAAGGCGTGTTTTCTCTGTCAGGGTTAACCCTCCAGTGTGTAATAGTGACACCAGGGTCGTCTCCCCTATGCAGTCAGTGCTAAAACAATCTATAGTTCCTTATTGCAAAATGAGCTTCCCCGGATTCTTCATTTTGCAATAAGGAACTATAGCCTTTTTTTTTGTAATTATTGGCAACAGTGTGATGTTTTTGACAAATCTGTCAACACAGGGTGTTAAAGGAACTCCATAGCTATAAAATGAACTATCAAACCGCAACATTGATCGTTTTGATGAAAAACGCCAATGGTTTTTGCAAAAGTTGCTCTCCTGAAAACCTACCGTTCTGCCTATAGTTCCGAATTGCAAAATGCTATCCAATTGATCGTGCAGTTCTTGGGCAAAGAAAATATTATTCGCGTTCCTTAAGAAAGTTGTGCGTGCCATTAATTTCCCTCTGCACATACGTGTTTTTTCAGATGAGCCAGAATTTCTAGTTCCAAATTGCAAAATGCAGTCCAATTGATCGTGCAGTTCTTGGGCAAAGAAAATATTATTCGCGTTCCTTAAGAAAGTTGTGTTTGAGAGATGCACACTACAGCATGAACTTTTACTAAGTACACTAATGTAACACTTTTATAATAAAAGTTTACATGATTTTCTACATTTAGCGAATGGTCTCCCAAATTGCAGTTAAATTTTTAGGATGAGCAATTTATGATCTTCTCTGCCAGGATCTCACAGTCTTGTTTTAAACATGAAAAGGAATTTCATGACTCATTAAAGGTCCATAAGCCCCCTAATTTATTCTCTACCTACTTAAAATGTGACAGTGAATTAAGGTCTTATTGAGGAAAAATCATTAGCCTTACTGTTTTGCGATGTGTGAGCTTTATTTTACGAGCATAGCCAAACCTCAAAATTGTGAGCTTTTAAATTTTATTTTTTTCCCTGATAAAGAAAAAAGAACTAAAACACTCCTAATTTTTACCATTAAAATATAGGGAGGTAATTAAGTACAGACTCACGACCAGTGTTAAGTAAAAGTGCAAAAGTTTTGACTGAAATTTTACCTAATCGTTATACAATACAGTTACTTCATTGTTATTAATTCATTAAATAATTTATATGAAATGATTACCAGGTGATTTACTATCTATTAAGTAACACTGACATAATGCTGAGATGTCATGGACCAAAATCTAACAAATGTTTATTTATCAGTCCATCGACCATCAATTGAAGCTTACATCACTTCAGTGCCAAAAAGTTCCGGTTCCTCTTTCCTCACGTAGCTTTTTTAATATTACTGCAGCTTCCGTATAGGCATGAGGCTTGTTAGCTGCAGTACAATGGTGTGACATTTTACATCCAGACTTAAGGGGCCATCAAACCGAATGAAATAAATGCAGAATTGATTCAATGTTAAGGGCATTTTTTAATTTTATTTAATTTATTAGCGGTTTCCTGGGGCAAATTTCATGCAAAAGGAAAATATAATGGGCATGTATGACTCATCAAATTCAACTGATCCTTCATCAAAAATGTAAACTGAATAAAAACACCAATGATGCTATTTACGATACCTTGAACACAGCACTTTCACTTTTATTTATTTTCTCCTTTAGATTAGCGCAATGCACATTAAAGGTAACTACCTAAGTAATCGAACTTCACACCACTTCAAATTTCTTGAAAAATTTCAGAGCAGACAAAAATTTTAGGAAAACTATAGGAGATTTGTTAATTTTCTTTCAACACACTACAACAACTTTGATGATGTTGTTTTGAGGCATTCAAGGTGAATTTCTCAAAACCAGATGATTTTTAGTTGCTGCTAATTTCCTATCGGATGACTGCTCAGATGAGAAACTGACAGCCATGTCATAGAATAGTAGCCGCTTTCTTAATCCAGAATGTAGGAAATTCGGAGAGAAGGAGCAAGTTGGAGTGCTGGAGCCCCTTCAAAAAACTGAAAAACAGACAAATAAACAGCATTATTTAAGGCATTTGAATGGTCATTTGGTGTCAGTTCAATGAGGATGTGACTTTTCAGCTCTCAGATTTTATTCATACTTGATGTGCAAATTTTATCCGTTGAGAAAAAATTACCTAGATCTCAGGCTGTTTCATTTAAGTAAAATGAAATTTTAAAATATTCATGAAATTGCAATTTTTTCAAAACTCTAAATACTTCTCAATTGTTGATACCGGATACAGGGGTGCAGAAAGTTCTTAGCCTTCGGTGATTTATAATTTGCCTTCCCCAATAGCAACGCGCTTAAAAGTTTCCTTCCCTAAAAGCAGCGCGCTTAGAAGTATCTTTCCCCACAAGCTGGGCGCTTCAAAGACTTCCAGCAAATAAAACAACTTGCATGACCGTTTCTTTCCCTAAGAGCAGCACGGTTGAAAGGCATCCAGGAAAAATAACAATGCGATTCCTTGTTTTTTCCCCAAAACAAGGGGGAGAAAAATCTTCCTCAATTTTTACAGCCTTCCTCAATTCTCACCCGAGTGGTCATGCAATCATGATTGCGTGATCGAGAACATTCTACACCCCTGACTGGATATTTTAGCATAAAAATTAGATTTTTTTAAGAACTCTCTTGAATCTGAAAATTTAGTTTTTGCCCTGTCTAATGTAGAAAACAGGTACAGAGGAACACTTACCGTAACCAGGTCAAATTGGACTTTGATTAGGTATATTCTTTTTTTTCCCCCTCCGATACAACACAACGATTGAAATTGTTAAATCATTAACGCATATTTCTTTGAAATTTGACCTTACTTACAAATTCCCAAAATTTAGGTTTGTGCAATGTTACATGATTTTTCTCATTTATTGTGCTCTTGGAAAAAACAAACAAGCTGTTTACTACACTTTAGTTTGTTTTTGCAATTATGACCCAGCATTGAGCACAAGTAGAGCTCGCGCATCGTCTGTTGAGACAAACGTCAATCTCCGATTAGCTCTGAAGTTGCACCACTCAACAAGGTAATACATGGAGTCAGGTGGCACCACTGGTGAATGGTGGCATAAGCAATACTTTGACGTTTGTCTCAACATACGATGCGCGAGCTCTACCTAAGAACGGAACCTGAGAGGCTATAAACTGGCTCGCTCTGAACACTTGGATAATTTCATATCTTGGTCCCTATATGCAGTTCAATGAAATGCTCTTCCAAGGTGATAATTGAGATCATGATTAAGTTTTATGGCAATCTAAGATGCTTAGGTGCTAGTTAATAATCAAGGAACGAAGAGCCAGAGGCATGGCTCACAAGCACATTTCTTTAATCTCCACTGGAAATTCTAAAATGTAGAACCTCAGTTGAAGGAAATGTACAATGAGTCAGTTGCTAATATCACCGTAACAGATTGTAGGTCCTATGCGCTGATAAAGCTACGTTACCGAGTGAGGTATTGTTTTATGTTCACTGAGAGAATTAGAGGAGGTTATTTTTTTGATCAACCTAATGAAAAGGTATCAGGGCAGTGTAGGTACGAAAATAATGGAGGAGGGAACATATCATTGCTCCTACGACAACTAGGCGTAACTTTATTTGTACTGAGCTGCAATGTCCACATAACTTAGCGCGTTCAGGGCTCACGTGAAAATACCAAGAGCTGACTGGCCATGTCTTGCATGGATACGACCAAATAATAAAGAAGCCATGATATGTTTTAATAGCAAGTACTTAATACGTTCAAATTCAACACTGGATTTCAAAGCCACCAAGTTTTGGCATTGCCTGTATTCTTTCAGAGGTGCTACCGCTATATCGGAGCTCGGAACGCTTGTTCGTCCACAATGGCAGAGTTTTTTATACCAGCACAGTGACTGACTTTAGTTACACACTAAGGCAGGTGGTCAGAGAAAATCACATCATTCTCGATATTTAGAGAAGTGGCATGAGCTCAGCCAAACTTGCGGAGTGGGACATCGGTCAAATCTGGACGAAGTCTGAACTTGCCCACTGTTGTCTCATGAGAGAACTGGAAACTAACAAATTGTGGGACGAATGTATTTCATGGTTTCCAGTGACCCCTAAATGATACCTGCCCTCTCCATGTTTTCCAGAACAATTTCTCTTCTCATAATAATGACAGATCATCCTAGAGTAGAGTAGCTGGAGGGAGGAATTAGTACCTCAGTTGATTTGGATCATTAATTTTGGGAAAGGCCTGTCGATCTACATTTCCTGAAGGATATACTAACAAAAATTGATTAAGTACTTACCTTTATTTTCAAGGCTGCATTTGATGAGAGGCTCGATAATATAATCCAAATGGGAAGCAACAGCTAACGCAAATCTAACCTAGAAAGTTAACTTGAACTGAACGTTTCACCGAAGGTATTCACGTTCATCAGGCATCGCCGCACTTTTTCTTCAGAGAACTATGAATAATAATTTGTAAAAGGAACCTAATCAGAATTCTTCACCACCTTCACGGCGGAAATATGAGATATGAGAAAGTAACAGTTTGGTGAAAATCTGAGAAAGTGAAAATTCGCCGTTACCTCCTTTTGTCTAGAATGTTCTAAAATGGAGGGAAAGGCCCCTCAGTTTCGTGACGTAGTAGTCGCCGTGTTAACCAATCAGAGCCGCCGTTGATCGGCCGAAGTTGCATGAGCGGTGCGTTTGAATCTTGCTTTCATTACCTCAATTATCAGACGATGTATATTTGTCTCTGTAACTTATACTAGGTAGTTTTTTTACGTAAAATTTTATCTCCTTTCGAAATGGTTATTATGAATTTTTGCATCACATCAACCCCTGAAAAGATATTAGCACAATAGGAACATGTGTCATGTGTTCTCCCATGAGAAAAATAGGTAATACAAAAAATAATAATAATAATAAAAAAAGTATAAACGTATAAAAGTAATAGTTATAAAAGTTTAGTTAAACATCTTCGAGACCTTGGAATAGAGAGTTACCTGCTTCATTCAATGCAGAAGTCCGTCGTCATAAGAACGTCAAGTATTGTCAGATCGTTTCTTAATATGGATTAATTTTTTTAATTTTTAAAATTTAATTTTGTTTATTAATCTCATTAATTTTACTTTAAAATAAAATTCACTTTTTATTCCAGCAAGATAGTGTGTATTACTGACTTTGGGCTGTGGCCCGTCAGTGATACTTTTACCGAAATCGTTCCTTCTTCCGAGTTAAAAAAAAAAAAAAAATAAAAAAAAATAAAAATAATAAAAAACAGAAAAGCTGGTAACAGATCTTCCTAGCATTAAAAAGTTGCATTTCTCCGCTGAAAGCCAGAGCCGGATTTACCTTTTTGCCGCTCATGGGCTGCCTGTGTCATACATTCTGCCGTCCGCTTCCTATTTTTATTTTCGGGAAATGAGAGATTTTGCCGCCTTTTCTTGTTTGTAATTTTTTGTTATTTTCTGAATCCAAAATTTTTTTTCAAAAAAAGAACATCAGAATTTGCCGCCATGCACTCCCCCCCCCCCCGCCGAACAACATACCTTGCAGAATGTCCCGACAGCAGCTGAGAGGATGCCAATTTAACATATTCTCAAAGAATGCAACCTTTCCAGCCAGGTAAGTTGTGAATGCATACCGCAAGATGTAAAAAGAGCATACACTGATTATGTTACCGAAGCATGTGGTTTAGATGTAACTTGAGCATTCAGGATGTTACAATAACATTTTATGCAGAATGTTAAATTGGCATACTAATCACTTGCGAAATTTACATTCAGAGGTTGCTATCTTAACAGGCACTTGTGTAATCTTAGCAAAAAATTCAAATGTCATCCCAACATAGCGTGATTTGTCATAGGAGCTNTAGCCCCCCCCCCCCCCGCATACCTGGCATCATTTGTAGACGATTTTTAAGATATAGAACAAAATCATGCACTGAATATTCCATTCTCACAATTTTGGCGCCCTTGAATGAATCGGTATGGCTTCTGATTCATTCCATAATCATTGAAAATTTCCTTCGCAGTCGGTTTCGGCGATAACCGTCGTTTTTCGATGATCATTCACTTCCATTTACTGTTACAATTGCGGATGGGCTACGATACTTCCGATGATCGACGATTTTTCGGTTATCGACGATATTTTCGATAATCGACGATTTTTCGGTTATCGACGATATTTTCGATAACCGACGGTATTTCCGATAATCGACGATATTTCGGTTATCGACGATATTTCGATAATCGTCGATACCCCATTATCCGATCGAAGTTCGATCGGTTATTTGTAGACAATTTTTAAGATTTAGCACAAAATCATACACTGAATCTTCAATTCTCACAATTTTGGCGCCCTTGAATGAATCGGTAATGGTTTCTGATTCATTCCATAATCATTGAATTTTTCCTTAGCAGTCGGTTTCGGCGATAACCATCGTTTTTCAATGAATCGTCGATACCCCATTACCCGATCGAAGTTCGATCGGTTTCGGTTGGTTTTCGGTTTCGATCGTGCACAGGCCTACGGCCGCTATAGGTACAGAGACAAGAGACCCTCCACTGGCCTCCTAGCGACAGGTGGAAGCTTTTACTTTCGGGGTTTCAACAATTCCTTATGGACAATTATTAGGGAGCAACAGTCATCACGCTAGTTTCGGCTGTTGACTTACCTACACGGTTGATGATGAGCTTCAAATGACGTCATGAGCCAAACAACTTTCCCAAACGTCGGCCATATTCGGCTTGTTTGCAAAACGAAACTGCCAACACGTTGTTGAACATCAACCATGTAGGTAAGTCAACAGTAGAATGCTGAAGTCCCGAAAGTAAAAGCTTCCACCATGGCCAAGATACTAGTGGAGGGTCTCTTGTCTCTGGCTAGGTATCCCAGTACCTGGGTGGGCGAGCGACAATGCGGTGGCATGGTTCGAAAGACAGAGGAGTGGGGAACGGTCAGACGTAGGGGAAAGGTTCAGGCTGAACCGTTCAGCACAGCGCACTATGGCCTGGGAGCGCCAAATCGTGGCCAAAAATCCGATTTTTGAAAGTGCGGAAATCTGGCAACCTAACATGCAGCCCTTATCTAAATCCCTTGGCAAGTGTGAAATGACCGATCGAATTTTTTAAGTGTTTTTAAGATCGGATGTATGGTGGCCAACTTCACAGACTCAGAAGTAAATGAAGAAATGTGAGAATTCGAGGTGAACGTCATCATATACTAGCTGCTCCGGGCGCCCTACGGGCGCCCTCCACAGCTAGCAATGGTGGTGCAGTAGCTTATTTGGAATCGGAGCGATTAGTTGAATCTATTTAATAATAATGATGATTCTGCGGCAGAAGATCAAGGAATTTAACTGCCTCTCTGCGTTACAGGGTGGAGACTGCCATTCTACCGAAAAATGTTATAAAAATCTCGCATTATTAGTTTTTCTATTTTTTTGTGTTATTTTTTAATTTTTTTTTATTTTTATTTTTTGATAATTTTCTAATGACTATGAGGCTTTTGGGATTTATAAAAGATCGAAGTACCTCTTTGTGCACGATGTTTTTTGTACGGTTGCCTTTGGGAAGAATTTGGACTTCAAAATTTTTGTACGATGTAGCTCGTGAGAGTGCAACATATAGTTGACCATGGCCAAAGACTGTTTAGGGTAAATAAATGTCGACTCGCTTCAGTGTTTGACCCTTAGCTTTGATGATGGTCATGCAGAACGCAATGCGAATTGGAAATTGTCGCCGCTTAAAAGAGAAAGGGAGAGAGGAGTCTGCAGGTGACAAATCAATTCTTGGCAGTGAAATTCTTTCACCGGCCTTCTCGCCGGAAATGACCTGCAAATCAAGACAATTTTCGTAACGTTTCCAGACGATCAATCGGGTACCATTCGATAAATCTTTAGAAACGTCGAGGTTTCTTAAAAGCATGACAAAAATCCCCTCCAAAAGTGTGAGTTTATGCGGTGGTAAGCCACTAAGATTAAGACTGTCCAAGAATTCGAGGGGAAAATTGAGAGCCTCTCCCTCTTCCTCTACAATGAGCCTGTTAACACTGAAGTACGTTTGAGAGACACCTGAAAGAACTTCAACAACCTTGTCGTTGATTTCATTGCAATGCTTATTTTTAGGGGCCA